GACATAGACATTTCTATGTTCAAAATTGGTGTTGAACTTTGCATTTTGAAGCCTCAATGTCAGCACTTTGGCCACCACAATGTTTTTCTTTACTTTAGCAAGAAGTTACTACATCAGGACCAATCACTGTCATTGATCAGGACCATAGGGCTCAGTGCTAAGTCATTATATAAGGCTAGCATGTTTTGTTAGCAAGCTGCATTCATAAACTGTATGTGCAAAACAAGCATACTTGCTCAGAACGACAGCAAAAGAACAACCCTGTTGGAGAGATTCAGTTCAATGACTGGTAAAAGTGGTGTCTATCGGACAGCTACAGGTTAAGTCCCTTTCATGTAGGACTCGGCAAACACTCTGAAACCCAGTCTTTTCCATTGCTTGTATGAGGCAATAACGGTTGCCCGTGGACGAGCCGGTGAGTAGTCATGCATGCTGTAAAAGGGCCTTTAGGCAGCAAAACTATCAGTCTAAACAATCAAATTTAATCCCCAACAGTATCCAGATGGATAACTAATGAGCGGCTATGGAGGGTAAAATTATAATAATTATAATCCACAGAGGCCAAAGGTGTTTTTTATACCAGGCTTTAAACCAGTGGTCCCTAATCTCAGTCCACGAGGGCCGGTGTCCCTGCAGGTTTTAGATCTCACCCTGGGTCAACACACCTGAATCACATGATTAGTTCATTACCAGGCCTCTGGAGAACTTCAAGACATGTTGAGGAGGTATTTACCATTTAAATCAGCTGTGTTGGATCAAGGACACATCTAAAACCTGCAGGGACACCGGCCCCGTGGACCTGGAGTTGGGGACCCCTGCTAAACAACGTTTTAATGCTGTTAAATTCGGCATTTTAAAGGATGCCTCAAGTGGCCATTAGAGGAACTGCACTTTGTGTTGGCTTCACTTTTTAGCGGGGGGGGCGGGGGGGGGTCCTTCTGTTTAAGATTTTTCAACAAATCTGTATTTGACCCACGGGATAGGTAACCAGCGCTGTTGGTTGGACTGCATTCAAGTGCAGCTCCAGAGCCTCTGCACTGGTTGAACTACAGTCAACGATGGATTAACCATAGTTGCAGATAGGAGTTGTAAAAAAATATTGTCTCCTTCATGATATTTGTGAATCCCAGTTCTGGTATTTAAAAGAAATGAAAGTGCTTCATAATGGGCATCTGATTACCATTTAGCTGATATGACCTATAATTTTAGCACTTCCTTAAACATCGAGCATACACTTACACAGGCAGGATGGGGAACAAAACCTCCATGGTGGAGGTAATAATATGTTAGGTGCCTTACATATAATTATCCCAAACAGCAATTTTCTGTATTAAACTTAAATCCAGAAATGTAATGTTTTACACTGAAAATATAGCCCTTATGATACGTAAAAGGAAGGTCTGCTTAATGGGTTTGGTGTTCTTTTGTTGTTTTAAGACTTCCTACAATAAATACAAATCCTTAATCTGCAGCATGACAATATTTTAGGGGCTTCGGGGAAATGTGTAAAAACATCAGAGTGTTAATGTTTGACCAAAATGTGATCCGTTTCGTTTTACCTCAGCTTAGAAACAGACTTAGCATCCCGTGAATCCAGGGACAAAATACCTGCTGTAACCAGTTTAAAACTAAGCACAGGCTTAATGTTTCTCATAGAGAGAGCTGATTTCATAATGACGTACTGAAACTGTGCAGGCCAAGTGAACACAGGTATGCGACCTGCTCTGTGCACCCCCGCCTTTTTGGGCAGGTTGTGCAGTTTGTCTTTGATCCTGAACTACCGGGTTAACTAATTTCAAGGTCAGAGGGTCCACAGTTTACATTCCACAGCTTTTAATAGGTCACTGCTACAACACTTTGCACTGGAAAGAATGACAGCGCATGTACAAAATTATTAATTGGACGAGGAGCAAACATGTAGAGAGGAGGTGAAGGATACAAAAATGTTCCCACAGTCTATCTTCTTTCACCTGCTCCCCCGTTTAAAAGCCTCCGCCATCTGTGAGCCAAGTATCAGGAACAATGTCTGCTTGTCTCAGACTATGCCCTTCACCCATCCTCTGAAAATGCAGTTTGCTGCGACATGATAGATTAATGCCAGCACTAAATCAAGCTCTTCTGTTGTGACACTGCAACCTGGTGTTAATAAACAGGGAGACCCTGGGCTTTCCAGGTAAACAAGGAAACGAAGGAGCAGTTAGAGTATGTTAGAACAGAATCTAGTGTTTATCTGGTATATAAAGTGCTGTAAGACCAAAAATTAATTATTATTATTGTATTACATGTAAATTAAGCTTCGTTACCATCGCTCCAGTCAGCTGAGCAAATCAGCTGCTGATTGTGGTTTCATGTGTTTGACACAGATGCATTACAGATGCAATGCTTGCCTTGAGAGTGTTGGTGGAGAAATATACAGATGATCAGAAGTTGCACATCTGTGCGCCAAGAGAGGAGCTATAGTACTGTATGAGGAGTCGGGAGTGGCAGAGAAGTACAGTATGTGAGGGTGGTGCAGGACACGTAACATGACAGTGGTGAAGCATGCGGCAGGAGTGACCGATGGGATGGTGTGGGTGTACATCAGGGATCAGCTGTGAGCCCATTCTTGTTTGCAGTGATGATGGACAGGCTGACAAATGAGGTCAGGCAGGAGTCTCCATGGACCATGATGTTTGCAGATGGTACTGATCTGTAGTAAGAGTAACAGGCAGGTGGAAGAGAGACTGGAGGGGTGGAGGTATGCACTGGAGACTAGAGGAATGAAAGTCAGTAGAAGCAATACAAAATACATTAGTGTGACTGAGAGGGAGACAGACTGAATGAGGAGTATACAAGGAGTAGAGGTGGTGAAGGTTGTTAAGTTGGAGGTGGCAGAGGTGAAGATGTTTAGATTCTTGTTGCGTGTGGCTGGGATTACAAATAAGTATATGAGAGTGACAGCTGGAGAAAGAGTGGAAAGACAGATGGTTTGGACATGTGCAGAAGAGGGAGCGTGGACAAACTGGAAAAGGGACATTGAATTTTTTCAAGCAGAAAGAAACAAGTCAGACTAGAGAGAATAAGAACTTCTGCTTCTGCACCATCGAGAGCATCCTGACGGAAAACATTCGCACCTGGTTTGGGAACAGCACCGAGCAGGACAGACAAGATTATGATGGATCTCTCCCATCCCAACAATGGGCTCTTCTCACTGTTGAGGTCTGGGAAGCGCTTCCGCTTCCTCAAGGCCAAAACAGAGAGAATGAGGCGGAGCTTCTTCCCCCAGGCTATTCTTGCCCTGAACCAGGTGTAGGACTGGACTCTCTCACACACATCGCATCACCGCACGCACTTTGTTTATTGGCACACTTCTTATTATTTTATTTTTCCTTTCATAATTTCCTCTGTAAATCGTTATTTATTTGCACATTTTTACTGTAAATTTCTAAGTTAAAATGTGTAAATTTTGTAGTCTGTAAATCTCTAAATCTCACTGTCATTTAATGGTCGGGCATTGCACAGCAATAAGCATTTCACCATATGTCGTACTGTGTATGGTTGTGTGTGACAAATAAAATTTGAATTTGAATGAAAAGGCAGAATTTAAAATTAAACATAGGAGATCAGTTTAAAATTTTAATCTTTGCAGTCATGTTAACTTCCAAAACCAGTCACGTCATTTAATTACTTCAAATGTGAATTAACGACAGTATCTTAAATTAAAACAGTTGCATGCTCTGAAATAGACATGATATTGTGAAAAGTTACTTATTAGGAAACCCTTTTTAAAGACATTTTCAAAAATATCAATTATTCCAAACACATCTGCGACATTCAACAAGTTGACTCCCTTCTGCTTTTGTAACTCACATAAACCTGCATTATTCTACTTTGAACTGTGGGAGGTGAGAGATCAGATTAGATACACATACTGGCCTGAAATGTTGCCAAGTTTCAAATGTTAAGATCATGCTACCTAACAATGCAGCTAGAAGCTGCCAGCTTAGCTTTAGTACAACCAGCTGCTAACTGAGGGTCATCCCCAAAAATCTATTTCAGTCATTCCATGTCAGTCAAATGTTCTTCTACTAGAAGGCTACGTAAACCATTAATGATGTTAAACCATAAGCTTCAAAATATTTCCAGTGCTCAGCTTTGACTGCCGTCTTCAGTGGCTGGAACGCAGAGAGTTACATACTAACGTAAAGTAGCACCAGGACGAGTCAGACTTACGCACAAGCTTCCTGGTTAAAATTTAAATCACGAGGGAGCCACAATCATTGAAATCCAAACCAAAGTTCTTGTGTTTTCTTGTTTTCCACAGTTCTGTACGTTAAAGTCTGATTAAATGATGCTAATATTGAGCTTTGTCATATTAAATGTAAACCACAGTCTCCAGTATCGAAGGCACACACTGAACACCCTGAACTTATTGATATTTATTGCGGTGCTACAAAAACATTCTGCTCTTTCTGTTCCTGCTATTTTTGAGTCCAAGGGAGGAATGACAGTTAATGTTTACAAGACAGTCCTCGTCTGTAGAATGTGGTCATTTTCAGCATTTTAACCAGAAGCCACCGCTTTTATCCTGGAGCACGCACGCACGCACGCACACACACACACACACACACACACACACACACACAGACACACACACACACACATGCACACACACACAACACTCTCGACACTCACTGGCCTGCACCAGTTACCAGTCACTTTGTGGAGCATTGGACTGCCATTACCTCATAAGACTTTGTTGTTACACTATCTCTTACCGTACATTACTAAATCTCCATTTGCACTATTTGCCTATTTGCACTACTCTGCCTGGTTTACACCCAATGTCATTTACCCATTATATTGTATATTGTATAGCTTTCTTGTTATATGTAAAATTGTATTGTATTTATTTAAATTTTTACTTTTTAATTATTTTACCTGCATTTTTTAATCACTCTTATATTTAAATGTTCATTTGCTTTTTTATCTAGGGATTGAGAGTAACGTAGTTTCTATTCTCTGTATGTCCTGTACATGTGGCAGAATTGACAATAAAGTTGACTTGACTTGACCAATAACCAGTCAAACTGACCCAATTTCCAAAGCTTTTTGCACTCAATTTAAATGCAGTGAACACAAACATCAAAGACTGAGCACTGGTGACACTTTCTGGGTGTGACTGATAAGAGTTCCAATACTGGTTCAAAATAATTACATAGTAAGACGGTGGTTTTGATAGTCTGATGAAAAACTGGCACAACCAACGCAGAGTGCAGTTTGGGCATGCTCCTAAATAAATAACGTGTCACTTTCAAAAACAATATCATAATTTATTAGTGTCAGCTGCTAAAGGGAATAAAATGTCAGTGTTAAGCATTTATGATTCAACTAGAAGAAATACATTGCACCAGTAGACAGAAAATAAGCACACAATAAAATTTCAGTTACACAATCAAACTACATAAAACAGTTAGCAGGTTTCACACTGCGGCTGATCTGAGATTGGCTATACAGCTCAGCACAAACTATAAAATCAGATTGACCTCAGATGATCTGGGCGTGTTTGAGGTGCAACTTAATCACACATCCTTTACCAACTATTCCAGATCCCAAACCAAACTACATAGTAAGGTTTAAGCACTGTATTCCTCCCTTGTTCCATCACATCTTTTCTTCTTCCTTCAGTGTCAGATCAGCTTCGACTCTTTGGCCTTCCTGAACGGGAAGCTGTTCTGCTGTCTGGATGACAACTCCCTGAAAGACAGAAATAAATGTGAAGAAATATTCAACTTTAGGGGAAAACAAAAAGTGGAGATCACATTAAATTACAAATCCTAGCAAGTTATCTAAACAAAAAGAAAGAAGAAAAAACAACAACACAGATCCAAGGGCTTGATGGCACTGTGATACAGAAGTGCTGCAGTTTTTGAGCCAAACATCTCTCTACTAACATTGTTCATTATCGTACACATTTAAATGTCAAGTACGTTCAGTGTGTAAAGATAGTGAATTTGTCACTCTGCCATAAATACTAGGGATCAGCCAAACACTGGCATCATAGAATCCTAGAATAAGATAACGTTTACTCGACAATCGTCTAACGTGTCCAATCAATCCTGTGCTAAATGTTCAAAGAGAACATAATAAAGATGTGACACAGCCTTTTCCAGAGGTGAGCAACCAATAATGACAATGAAAATGGGACATCTACTTTTTAATATACAAGAAGAAATGTTTGCGCTGTTACATTATTCTTATATCATAACTTGGGTTGGTTCTCTAGCTTTAGCATTAGTTAGCATCATGAGAATACAAACACACAGCTGGAACACTTCATAAGCTTGTTTTGGCAGAATGCCTACATGTTGCTTCATCACATGCGTGTCTACAAAACCTACACACTGCAAGAGATCTTAAGCTTTATCATCAAAGCAGAATCCAATAACGTGATTTTCAATTAATGCAGTTTTCCATCTTGAACATTTACTGTAGGACAGGTTTCATTTCATGGGAACAGTTTTTTAATACCCAAGCTTCCAGACTAATAAGTGACATGGCAGCAGACACAAACAACACTGGTGAGTTATAATTATGTTCTGGGATCTGACTGCTACACCCACATGCAGCAGTTTAACCCGATCGACTTCACATATTTAGTTTGGTTCATTTAGTGAACTAATATAAAACGATTTCATTTTATTTCCTGGATATCAGAACCAATTCTGTGGGTTTATTCAGTTATTAATTATGGTTTCTGGCATTTATTTGAAATGATCCCATCCCATCCATACCACAGCTCCCCTTAAATTGCACCACAGATGATCACTCTCAGGAGCTCAAATGACATTTAGCTCATCTGCCAAAGCCAACAGACGTAGAAAATGTTCTTGGGTCCAAATAAACCACAAACAATTTTGTCCCCACCCAGCAGCTTATCTAAGAGAATCCGTCAGGCGAAAACCAGCAACGTGGAATCAAATATTGTACAAACATCCTGAAAGAGGTTATGCATACAAAGCGTGTTTGGATCCAAACAGAGCAGCGCTCTGAATATTTCAGATGCCATCTGTCCTTCCTTTATTTTTCATTGTTTCTGTTTCTAAGGACTTTAAATATTTGACACAAAAACACTTCATAGATACAGAGCCTTTGAACAAAATTAAAAAAGATGCATTGCCTGTGACACAAAGTATTATCGAAAATTCTAGCTATGCTTCATTGCACAGTGAGACCCCGTCTTTACCGTCAAGGCCGTTTCACTCTCCTTTGCCAGCCAATAATAACCCAGCCTGCATCAACTCCACATGAAATAAACAGCAATTGAGTTTCTTGGATTAAAATGTCTGACTGTGCTGTGATGATGTGAAGGAGGACTTGTGGCTGGAAGAGATATGCAAGTTTGTCTGTGGGAATATGCCTTTTCTCAACTCTGTGTTTGATTGACTCAGTGCTGTTTGGCTTGATTGTGTGTTTCTGTCAGTGTGTGAGAAGTGATTAGACTGAGCAGGTTAGCTATGGTGGCTTTAGCTGCATGTGGTTGGAGACAGACCCAACCTGATGCAAAACAGCCATTCACTGTGACCAGCCCTCAGTCTGGCCGTCTTACTATACAAGCATATGGCCAAGGTGGTCTTTATAACCATTTAAATGTTTCACTAAGCAGCACAACCCCATGGAGCAACCCCACAGTATTCAGTGCTCAGCCTTTAAATGAACTCAAATAATTACTTTATATAGGCAAAGAAAGCCTATAAGGAAACTAAGGTGCCTCCAGGATTAGCAGATAAACCCCCCCCCCCTCCAGAGAAAGCTGAATGGCACAAGAAATGAAAACACATGGCTCAAACAAAAACAAGAAATGACCATTTGGAGAATAATGCACACGCACAAGCACTATTAAACAAGAAAAACACTGTTGAACAATTGCTGGATCTGGACTTGCATGGCTAATGATTGTTTTGTGGTGTGTGCAGCTGGACAGTCTATATGCCTGCGCATATGGGTGTGCTCCCTTCATTCAAGGTGGAAACCTAAACTTGTGAAAACCCTTTCTCCATGCAACAACCCACATTGAGTCACCATTCAGTTTGCTTGTTCCTGCCATTACATTGACCACACTCAACTTACTACCCCCCCCCTCCGGTGACCACATAAACATAAAAAAACACACCACAACCAAATAATAACAAACAAAAACACCCCCCACCCCCCCCAAAAAAAAACAAAAAACAAAAAACCCAACAACAAAAAGCATAAAATTACCTGTAATCTGACATTGTTGCACGCATGGTTCAATTCACAAGGTGCATAGAGAATATTTAATTAAGAGAATGTTTTCTTGCCTAAATGCACAGCCACAGTACACCCTCGCTCGGTTATGTTTAATATAAAAATGATCAAATCTTTAAAAAGTCTTAAAATAGTTAAACCAATATTGGATGAACAACAACACATTACAACACAATGTATTATACAGGGTTTAACAAAAAAGAAGCTAAAATGTAAGAGCAATGTGTGAAACAAACATAAGTATACCACATGACTCAGTAGCCCACAGAACCACTTTTAGCACAAAAAAGTCAGCATTTTCTTGATGCTCTTATCAGTCTCTCGCATCATTGTGGAGGAATTTTGGTACAACACTGCTGTAGCTCACTGAGATTTGTGGGCAATCATTTGTGCACAGCTTTTATAGGGGCCCGTCACAGGGTTTTCATTTGAGCTGTATTGTTCTGACCCCTAAATCAATACACAAGGGACACATTGATTTGTTCTGTTAAGGGAACGAGAGGTGAAAGCATCAGCTCTATATGAAATACATTTATCCAAACATATCCAACAAAAAGTGAGCACAATGAGCTCTCTTGACATGTTTCAGTCTGACAGTCTGTCACTGACATATTTTAACATATTTCACTGTCGCGTCAAACAAAAACTGCTGCGTTAATGCTGTTTGCACTCATGAGGAGCTTCATGGCACTACTAGAACATTATGTGTGGGTATCAGGTTGGGACCACACTACAGAGAGATGGATTTTTTTTTTTTTTTTTTGTAAATACACTAAGATGGTTGTGACATACTTGTGTCAAGCTCCGTCTCACACAGACACTCATACAATAAATCATGTAAAGCCTATTGTGTGTGTGGCGCAGTAATGGGGAATGATGAGCTGGGTAACATCAGTCAGCTAAACTGAGCTCAGGTTGCTTTTAGGCTCTAGAGGCTGTGTGCACAAAAGTAATCAGGGAAAGTTACAAAATAAACATTACTGATGAATATACAGTAATGTATACAAACACAGATATGGACGGCACATACAGGCATGAAAAGAAAAGTCATTCTTACTCTGTTACTATTCTCACTCTCCTCTAGCAGACACACCATGCATAATTTAAATTCAATTAAACTGTAAGGAGACATAAAGGAAACAGGAGAGAGAGAGAGAGAGAGAGAGGGAGGGCGAGAGAGACTGTGGTACAGTGCTGCACCAGTAAAACCATTTCCTTTGCCGTGACTCAGCAAGACCCACAAGCTGGGCTCAGGTACTCTGTGCTTTCTGCTTTAACTGACTTCTTAGTACATGATGCGTCTGTGACACCTGACACCAGTGATACACTTGGAGAACCACTGTGGAAATGGGCACTGTTGCACTTACGGGTCCCCTGGTAAGAGCACATTAAATTTAAGTTGAGTTAATATTACTATTTTTCTTTAACCTGCACACACACACACACACACACAACATCGTACTAGTTTGTTGACTGTGGCTAACAGCAGGAGTGCGAGAGCAGCAGCCTTCAGAAGCCTGTGCAGAATGTGGTTATGCATTTCATCCATCAAATGATTATATGCTACTTTACACTGACACAGTTCACATACAACAGCTCATTTTCTACATTAAAGTGTTGCAGAACCGTGCTGGTTTTGCACAGATGACATTTATCTTAATTTTCACCTTCTTAACCCCCCCCAAAAAAAACAACTTCCTATTACATAGAAAAAAATCTAACAGGTGGCATTATAACATATCTGAACTAACAGGTAACTGCTGTTCTATATTAGTAGAATAAAGTTGTTTAGCTTTATTCAAATAGTATTTTTGGCACTGACTAGCAAGAGCAAAAACGTTTAAACAGATCTACAAATTTTTTATTACTTTCTTACAGGTGGCGCACATGCTCGGTGCATCTACACTCACTAAATGTCAACTGCAAAATTCTGATGTTTAACGAGTAAGTATTCACGGTTTGAAGTGGCATGTTAGCATGACAACATTTTCGCACAGCACAGAGGAAGCTGGTGGTTTAAAAAAACATTTATAAAGAGAAATTCCTCACATCTTCACCATCTGAAGGAAAAAAAAATAGTGCAAGGACGGGACTGAAATCACACACCTGTGATAAATGCAAGCGAGAGGATAAAGAAGAGTAGGCCAGTTGTACTGGGGGGTTTACAAACAGAATATCTGACTCTTACTCAAGTGTCGAGAAAACTCACTATGGCTGTATCTTTGTGATGTTTTGTCAGAGATTTCCTGTGTGGCCGCTCTTCTTTATTAACCAACATACAATACTCCATTTTAACACGTCAGTGGCAAGTTCTGCATTTGACAAGCAGAAACAAAGACCTCAGTCATACATCAACCTTTACAGCTCCCTCATCCTGTCCTCAGCAGGTGTTTATACTCAAGACAGCAGACATCAGATACAATCTAGGCTACGGGTAATAGGAAGCTCTGGGAAGTTAAAGCACT